TTTTCTTTCAGTTTATATGAGAAAATATGTATGCCAATATAATTTAATAAATTATCTTCATCATTAGGAAAATGGATTGCTGGCATTGCTGTGCTTCCAAAACATTTAATAATGCTGAGCAACCACTGGCAGGGTCCACTGCTTTCAATTAACAGAAATCATACTGTGCTCGTTACAAAAATATATGCATAATAAGACTGCATAGAAAAATGCCTTTGTCATGCTGGGGTTTTAGCTCTTAAATTATCAAAATTATTATAAAGCTTCTGAAATAGTACCATTTTTTTTTTTATTACCTTTAGAAAATTGGCAGGTTTCCTCAGTACAAAGAAATCTTGCTCCTTGTGTATATTTCGTTACAATTCCCATTGCAATCGCTATTCCTTCAGACATATAAAATCTTTGAGATGTGTAATTAAAGGGAAATGGAGCAAGATTCAGAACATAACTTGGTAAAGGTGGCAAATGGGTTGGTTTCAGCAATATACTGATCTAACAAGAGAGACAATCACATTAATACCATCAAAATATTTGTTTTAAACCCACTTTACTTCCATGAACAAGCATACAGTGTGATATATGGCAATTAGAAAAATCAGAAATGTATGAGGTTTCATATTAATTATCTCTAAATTCTTGCAATAGGGTTGGGTGAGATTTCCAGCTATTTTTAATTACAACTAATACTACAATCCAAGGGAAAAATGCTAAATGAAAAGTTAATGTAAAAATAATACTAGTTAATACTTCACCATGCTTGAAAGATTTAAAATCTAAATGGAGGAAAACTGCAGCCTCACCTGGGCCTCTGTCTGCAGTTGTTCAATTATTGATAATGTCTTAATAGCTATGAAGCACACCTGTGATTGACAAATCATGTCATTTTAGAAAGGAAAATCTAGTTAAAATGTAGAAGATGTACTTTTGTCTACTCTTGTCTATCAGTCTGTACTTACTGACTGAAAAATCTGTGCAGCTTGTATGGGATTATGAAGAATATAGTTTCCAAGAGTTGCATCTAATTCAGCAATATCAGAAGGGTTTATTGAAATAATGAAACGATAAACAGCATAACTTTGTTTTGAGTCTGTAGGAGCAAAAAGTATCTCAAATAAAAAACAACAGAAGACTTATGTAACATTATGTATTAATTTAACAGACTATATCTGTTGAGTAATACCACTGTATTTTTTGCAATCCTGCATGAATTTCTGAAGGCCACCACTTCTGTCCAGGTAAACAAGGGCAACTTCCCTCATCTTCTGTATTTCACGATGCATCTTCCACGAAAGACCTTTGTGCTATTTATCAAAATGTTGGAATAAACTGTGAAGAAATAATGTTAGAGCTGTCCAAGCTATGATAACAATAAAGGGAAATATGAACAAAGCCATACAAATAAGTCTCTTTTTCAGACTATGCAATTCTCTAAGGATTTTTAAAATTCAGTGGAAAGTTCTTTCCAATGGCTGAAGCATACTACATTCCCAAAGTAAATTCTTGGAGAATGCTCTGGTGTTTTCTTTTCTCAGTGGTTTACTTCACTGCTCAATTCCCTAACCCATGAAATGAAAGCTTCAATTTAACTTAACTTCCCCTCTATATTTTATAGGTATAATCAGCCTATCAAAAGTAGGACTTAAACACTTCCCTTACCTAAGAAGTCTGTCTTGGCTGCTAGAAGTGCAAAACTGGACATATTCTCCCCTTTTTAAATCTGACTTTCCTACTCTGCTGTTACCTCCTATATTACCCACTTAAGGTGCTGATCTTGCACACACTTATTTCCAACCATGTACACAGAAGATCAGTCCCAACTCCCACAGACAAAGCTTTAACAACACAGTTTTCGATTGGAGGCTGTGCTCTTCAGTGCTGCTTTCATTGTGTACTGCTGCATAATTATTTTCTTTTTAAAGCAGAATCTCGTGCCACAAAGCACTACTTTGCTGAATTTAGAGGGAGGATTACTAAGGCCAAAATACAGCATTTTGTATATATGTATCTCTTTTACTGTCTTACAGATTTTCTTCCACAAAGCGTCCTTTGTCCTCTCTGTTGATGACCAATATAAAAATGCCACTTCAATCTTCAAAAATAGATTTAGCTTCCTAGTAGAGGGTAAGACACAAAATTATTGGGCTGATGAGGAGTCAAAGCTCATAGCATATGAAAGATCTCCTGTAGTTCACAGAACTGGCTTTGGGAAGACAAACAGATCAACATCAGAGATGAGTAACTGAATACTAGTGCAACACCAGTGCAGCAGTGCAAACCATTGACTGACAGTTGTACACTGTGGCCGGGTAGATGTGTTTAGTGCCCAAAGCATCACATTTTAAACACAAGTTGGAAGATAGTTTATAGTAGAGATTTACATACACACACAGTTTCTTTAGGTCTACTCCTACGTGGATTAGTGATTCATCCCTCAAAATGGTTATCAAGAAGGGGTTATAGAAACACACAGATTCACTATACCTCCCCTCCCTGTGTTCCCCAGGCTAGAAGGGACACCAAACACGACTAGGAAGGACTAAACTGTGGCCCAGGTCATCGTACACTAAATACTGTCATCACCTAAGCTTCAGAAAGTCTGACCAGTCCCAGTACGGGGGTGATGGTGTTCATCGGTGCCCCCCACAGCCAGCGATACCCAGGACCGCCTCCTGGCTTCCAGCTCCTGTCACCCACCTGCCCTCCCTTCCATAAACCTCACTGGCGCTGCTTCCCAAGTGCTCTACAGGTTCATATGCCGCCCTCTTCAGCACTGCTGTGTCGGCAGCAGTGGGTACAGAGACCGACCGGGCTCTTCACACCACAGCGGGGAGACGGCTGTGGCGCCTTCCCCCTCAGGGCGCCGCTGTACCCGCGGCAGAGGCCAGCTGCGCCGCTTACGAGCTGGTACCGAGGGGCTCCACAGCCTCCGGCTGGTGCCGCTCCCTCACGCCCTCAGCTGAGGGCAGCCGTGAGGCAACGGCCCCGCGCGGCCCAGGCGGGAAAGGCGCCCGCGCTCTCTCCCCACTCCAGCCTCTTGAGGCGCCGCCACCGGGGCCCTGAAGAGCAGCGCCGCGGTTGAGAACGGCTCCCGAAACCCAGCGGCTGCACAAGCACAGCCTCCAGCACCGCTGTTGGAGGACTCTGCCCCGTTAAACACGGCTACTGGGGGTGCACGGTCATTCCTTTACTTTGGCCAGCGCATGAGGCAGGGCACCAGGAAAGTGTCATGCACTCAGTGTAGCAAGTACTAAACCAATGTAAAAACATTTTCTCTCATTAATAAATACTGCATATTTAACTGCTGCCTATCCTGCCAGCCATCTGCAAACTTATCTCACAAAACAGTGTATCTACACTTCTTCTGTTGCATTTCATTCAGTTTGTGTTTTTACAACTGCCATACATGTCAGCCAGTCCATCTTGCTGCCTCTCCGACTCCCATCCCATGTCCAAACCAACAGAGCTGGTGCAACTTTCCTTTGCTTTCATGGCACCAGGAGAGGTCTGCTCCTCACAGGGCTGGGATGTACCTCTCTGGAAGGGAGGAACGACTTCCCTTCACTAAGGACAGGCAAAACCCCCTCCATTAGTCACAAAGTCGAATTTTACCTCCCTTTATTACCCATCTGCCAAAACAGAAAGGGAGCACCACAGGTGGTTCCTGGGTAGGCTATCTCCTGTCCAGGCTTTACCACAGCTAGTGCTTCCGAGCTCACTTGCCAGCTCAGCACTGGGTGAAGGAGCTGTGACACTCTGAACCTATCTTACTTTGAAACCCATCATCATGAGATGCAGGGAGATGAGGAACAAGCGCACTATGTGCGGAAGCACTGCTGTGAGGCTGTATTGCCTGACGCTGTACCCAGTCTGTTATCTTCACAAGGTGGGAGCTGACCGAGGCATTTCACAACATGAACTTACAGTAGAACAAAGTGAACTGAACTATTTCAAGTGGTATGTTTAACAAATTCACACTTCACCAAAAAGGCAGAGCCTGCTGACAAAAAAAGCTTTATAAGCAATTACTGAGCTGCTCTCCTAGAAATAACTTTAACTACCACCACCACCATCTTAAGAAAGGCAAGAAACCCTAAATTTTTCATAACCCTCTACCCAAAACCCTTCAGTCAGGCAGCTAGGTACAAGATGAACTGAAAGGGGTGTTACCTTCCCCAGCAACAACTTCTTAAGGATCCCCTCTTCTTCCTGTCTCTCTACAATGCTCTACTTCTTTGCCATTAAGGCAGTTACAGTAGCCCACAGTAATTTCAGCAGTATACACAGTGAAAATTTGGCATGAGAATGGACACTTACATTCTTACAGTCAACTTCTGCTTTCAAGTCCATCAGAAAGACATGGGTTTCGGTGTTTGGTTTGGTTTTTTGTGTTTGTTGTTTTTTTTTCCCCCCAAAAGGGCAACGCTGGTGCTTCCTCATTATTATAATGGCAGTTAACAGGATTCATGTAGTTGCTGGTTGTTCTGACCGTCTGCACAGCTATTTTCAAACCTCTCAAAATTCCAGAGCAGCACCACAGTAAATGAGAGCCAACCCACTACTTCACTTCCACAAACAATTGAGGTCCTTCCTTTCATACCAATGTCCATTCTTACTTCTTTTACCCAATCACTCCTTCCAACACCTCAAGAAGCAGCAACTCGGCATCACTTAAGCACTATGCAGATCACAGTTCTATAGGAGATACTTCTCCAGATAAGCACAGAATCCTGTTTCAGTTTCCACTTGTCTAATGTTTCACTGTTGTTTTAACATTAATTTCAAAAGAATTAAGATTTGATACACTCTTTTCCCCAACATTCTCAATTTTAAACTGACCTTCATGCAATATGGATAGCATTTCTTTTAGCTAGTTCTTTGTGAAAAATGAGATGATTTAGATATCGAAACTTATCTTTTAGTCATCAGTGTCTTAGCAAACTTCTCTCAAATCAAGGCATTTAAAAGAATATATTTACGAACAAAAACCACAGAACATTGAGTAACAGACAAAAATAAGTTGTTATTTACAAGTAGTATATATAATAAAACTACTACTGTGATAGGCATTTATACACTGTAACTGCAGTCAATATTTGCATTGTTTAAAAAAATTTCCTTAAACAGAAATTGTTCAGTTAGCCGTTTGTCCATACATGTGTATGTTATGAGAAGTACAACAGCTTTTCACATTTTTAAAATTATCAGCATAATTTACATTTTTTCCTCCTAATATCAAGTGAAGATTTAAAGATGGTGCAAACTGGAACACAAAGACAAGTAGCTATGACTGCTAAAATACAATCAATTTGGAACATATTAGTGTTTCAAACCGTAAATCCGTGAGAAAAATCCCTAGTATTTGGCATGGTCCCCCCACCACCCACCCCTGAAAGGTCAAAGCAAGATAGCCTTTTAAAGTAACAGTGATTATTGCATATTAGATCTTTGGAAAAGCAGAGTTTTAACCAAAAATATTTTTAATGTAGTTGAAATATAGACTTATTTATCTTAGGGAGGAAAGAAGAGTAGAACACATGATCAGTAATGTTACTACATCAATCCAGTTAATTTGTTCCATCCTTGCTTTGACTTATCCCCAATACCTTAGATAATCCAGTGGAGTGAACAGCACTGCAGCAAGTGCAAGAGCAACAATCCAGTTTTACATGACCAATTTTTCATTCTCTAGAAGTCCTTTAAGAGCCTGGGTCTTAACTTCTATTAACCCCTAATTTAAGTGCTGACAGGTAAACTAACATATATTTCAAACTGATATAACAGGGAAAACATTTACCTTTCTTAAACCAGGATATACAAAAGACAATTTGCATAGTTACAATTCAAGCACAAATAGGTACAAAAGCATTTATAAATTTACTAAATTTTCTGCTGTTTGTGCCAGCCAAATCTTAGATTAGGTGTGAATGTAAACTTGGAAGGGACTGAGGAGAACAGTCAGTGTTTTTTTGCTTAAAATATATGTAGAGAATGCTTTTTAGAGGTTTTAAAAATATTTTCTGCAGCAGAAACAAACAGTTCAAACCCCCCACAAAGCCATCCAAAATGCCTAAATTCCTCCTATACAGCAGAGAAAGTTTGTTCATAGGTTTCAAACCTACATACAAAACGAGGCACTAGTTACGCTATTTTGGAATGTGTCCATAACCCTAACACTTCAGTTCACCCCGAGACTTCCAAAACACCATGGCTTCTAGCTTCCTAAGAAAACATATCTTCAGAAGGTGGTGCGTAAGAAAATCCAACAAATGCATCATCTGCCTCAAGGACACTGGCATTAACAATGTTGTAATCTGAAGAAACGCAGACGGAGTATGGGACCATTTCTTCTGTAAACACTGCATCAAAATTCCCAATGTCATCTGGTCCAACCTAAAAATCAGAGATCTATCAGCTGTTATGTTAATACTATGATTTAAACTTGTGCTTTCAAATTTAACTCCTGAGGCTATCTATGTTGTCCTTGCCTGTTCATGCACAGAAAGTTTAAGGAAGCACACCACAGCATCCCTGGAAGCAGCTATTAAAAGCCTGATTGTTTCTTTTAGACTGGAATTTAGGCCAAAGCTTACAGACCTTTATGATCTAATGAACCAGGGAAATACAAAAAAATATGTCTGTCTTAACTGATTGTTAGGAAGATGCAAAAGCTAATCCCACCCCCCTGAAAAGGAAGCCAAAAATCAACCCCAAACCACACCAAATTGTATTTCTCTCCATCAATAATACTTTAAATGTTAAAATTCCAGCAATGGTACTGTTATTACAATAGATCAGTGACACACCTCAGAGCAAAAACATAGTAATACTGGTTCACACAAAAAAGAGACAAGACATCTGAGGCTTCTTCACAAACCAGATGTAGACTCAACTAAAGGCAATACTCTGATGTGACTTTAAGGACTTTCTTTCCACTGGACCACCCTCCCCCCCCCCCACCCCCCCCCCCCCAAGCTTTTGGACAAGCAGTCACAGGTTGACAAGAGTTTAAAACTGACAGGAAGATAAAGAAAAGCTGCAACCAAGGTTGCATAACTACAAAAAAGCAGGAAATCAGTCTTTCAGAAAGATTTAAAAGTGAAGACTCTATCTTATTTGGTCTTCAGACCCCACAGAAAATGACAGTCCTTTGACAGGAAGGAGCTGAAGAAACAGTGATGTATCAAACTGAGCTTTAAGTAAAAAAGGATGGTATCAATGCTCAAAAGTGTGACTGCTCAAAAGGCACTGGGAGGTTCCCCATTCTTCACCATTTTGAAACAAACATTCTTCGCAAATAAATGAGATCGCAAAGGCAGAATTTTGGCAGCTATGAGCTAAAAGCAGGTACCTACCACATTAGGATTAAATGGCGGCGGGATCTTCTTCTGAAGAAGATCAGTCCAGCTGAGAGATTCAAAGAATGGGTGCTTTTGAATTTCAAGCTGCAGTAAGGAATAAAGATTTTAGATATTTCAGAAATCCATCCCATGCATCATAGTAAATACTACTTCAGACTGCATGCACATAAGGAAGTCCTTCTTCAGTTTGTCTGTTCACAGTTTACTTTGCAATAAAAGCTGTAGTTGGTAAAACAGCCATTAAAATTTGCTAGCCTGTCTCTGCAAACTGATTTCAAGATAGTATTTTCTGCTTTTAAGTCTTAAAATCAACCACCCTGAAGTCTACCTCAGAGCAAGTACAATTTCTGTTAGTACCTCTGCTCTTGCCTTAAAGTTTTGTTAGTTTTTGTTAAGCAGATCATTGGTTGAGAAGCAGGTGCTTCAGCAACTCTGCAGTATACTTAGTTAAGAAGCAGCAAACAGCTACAGTAGCTGCTACTATCCTTTCATCTTGGTCCACGCTGTGAGAAAGCACAATATTATAGTCCAAATGCTCTGTTACAAGGTCAGCAGGCTACCTAATGTTAAAACTGAAAACAAAGACTGTGAGGATCTCATAATTGCTGGATAAACTGCTTCTAGATGTTGCCTCATTGCACAGTTCTGAAGACACTGTACTTTTTCACATCATCTTCTTGCAAACAAAGTCTTTGTGTTACACTGGGAAAACGTTTGAAATGATTTTAAGGCTAAAACCAAGCTTCTGTCTGCACACTACTAGTGCTTCTCTTTATCTGAAGATTGTGTTTCATGCAGACAGTTAAACTGACATTACCAGAGAACAGCCTTTTCTTTTGATTATTTCCCAGTTTCACTGCAGTGAAACCTACCTTAGTACACCTTAGTGACTACTACACATGGAATTGTGTTTCCTTTGCTGGCTGGTACAGCAGCAACCAAGCTCTAAATATTTCTATCCCATTACAATCATTTCTCTCTTACTGCCAACGGCTTTTAGGGCTCGACCACACTGGTGTCTTTAATGAAGAAATAGAGTACGAAAACAGAGGCAGACATAACAGAGCAATCTCTTATCTCCCAACTATTAAACCTGTGCTGTGCACGTAAATTTGGTGATGACCCTTTAAACAAAGCAAGGCTTGATAAATTAGGACATTACATACAAAATCTTCCCTTGCTCCAAGTCTGTTTTGCCGATCTTTCTCCAAAAGCTCTTCCAGGATAGACCAGGCTGTAAGACTGATTCCTGGGCGCAAAACTAGGGGTTTATGAAGAATATTCTCGTACATCTCAGCAACATCACGGCAGTAAAAAGGAGGCTAAAAAATAAAAATTATACATGAATTTGAAGCCAAATGCAGTGAATTATTCTATAAGAAATACAAACTGCTAGCAGTCAAGAAGAAATCTACCTCTTCTTACACACCAACTTCTAATTCAGTCACCACCATTGCCAGACCTTTACGCTTGATAGCTTCCCCACCCACCTTCTCTTCTCCTAACATGTTCTCACACTCGTGTAAAAAGCCACAGATGCCATCCAGTTTCAAAGCTCCCACTGAACTTCCCTGAAAAGAACCTGGGAGTGGAACCCAAATTTATCTCCCTTAAACAGGTCCTGGAGCAGGGGGAGAGGAAACACAGAAAACTAACAGAACAGATTGTTACTGGAATAATTACATATGAGTGAGTAGAAGCAGCACAGTAAGATTTTTTAATTCTAATGCTGCAGCAAGAAGTGGAAAAGCTGGGAGAAAACCTGGGAGACCCAAGTGGAAAAAAAAAAAAGTATTTTATTTATTCCTGTATTTGGCAAAATTTTACTTATAATTTTAGAGGGTTTTATTGGGTATTATCACTGCTGATTCAAGTTTACTCTCACATTCCCTCAAGTAGTCCCTCTGATTACTTGTCTTCATCTGAGTTCATGTCAAGCAGGTCACTGGGAAGTAAAATTTTGGACATCAAGAGGCAATGCAGAATCCAAAAGAGTAAAACATGTGCCATGCTAAGAATAACTGTTCATCCATTTAAGTGTATTATATCAGTATTTTTCAAGTTAGCATCTTTAACAACATGCCAGGGTTACTTCACATAAAGAGAGAGGAGAAGGAAGCAGCTCCTGCCCCCCCCCACTAAGTACATACCAGCCCATAAAGCATTTCATAAAGAACTGCACCAAGGCACCACCAGTCTACTGTGTTGTCATAGGGCTGCTTTTTAATGACTTCTGGTGCAAGATACTGAAATAAAAAATAAATAAAAAAGTCTTTTAGAGCATTAGGGTAGCATGAATAAAACCTAGGTTTTAATCACATCACATTAAACACCTTCAGGGAAAGTTGCTTTTGTATGACTGCTAAGTATTTATCTTGTCCTTCAAGAAGCCTGGCAAATACTTTGTCACCATTTGGGTATTTACCAAGCAGGAGAGCTGTTTTCCCAACTGAAACAATACTTCCCACACACTATTGTTTTGCCAAACTACCACCTCTATTATGAAACTTGTTCTACATTTCTGACAGCTCACTGCACTGTTGCAGGGGCAACATCTCTCAACACACTAGCTACTCGCAGCTTCCTGTATGCTCCCCATCCAATACATAAACACGAAAGGAGAATATACTAATTCTTCCTCAAATCTATAATTTCTGAAAAACTGTATGACCTATATTAAGTTTCAGTATACATCTCAATGAGGGCATGAATTGTGAGGTCCTACACAACATTCTTGTCTCTAAACTGGAGAGACATCAATCTGATCCATGAACCACTTGGTGGATAAAGAACTGGCTGGATGGCTGCATGCAAAGAGTTGCGATCAATGGCTCAATGTCCAACTGGGGACCAGTAACGAGTGGTGTCCCTCAGGGGCTGGTGTTGGGACTGATCCTGTGCAACATCTTTGTTGGTAACATGGACAGTGGGATTGAGTGCACCCTCAGCAAGTTTGCTGATGACACCAAGCTGTGTGGTTCAGTTCGTAACACTGGAGGGAAGGAATGCCATCCAGAGGTACCTCGACACACTTGTGAGGTGACCAATGCCAACCTTATGAAGTTTAACCATGTCAAGTGCAAGGTCCTACACCTGGGCTGGAGCAATCCCAGGCACAGCTACAGGTTGGGCAGAGAAGAGATTCGGAGCAGCCCTGCGGAGAAAGACTTGGGGATGTTGGCTGATAAGAAACTGAACATGAGCCTGCTTTAGTGTGCGCTCACAGCCCAGAAAGCCAACTGTATCCTGGGCTGCATCAAAAGGAGCATGACCAGCAGGTCGAATGAGGTGATCCTGCTCCTCTACTCTGCTCTTATGAGACCTCACTTGGAGTATTGTGTGCAGTTCTGGTGTCCTCAACGTAAGGAGGGCACAAAGCTGTTGGAGCAAATCCAGAGCAGGGCCATGAGGATGATCAGGCGCTGGAGCGCCTCCTGTATGAAGACAGGCTGAGGAAGTTGGGGCTGTTCAGCCTGGAGAAGAGAAGGCTGCGTGGAGACCTCATAGCAGCCTTCCAGTATCTGAAAGGGGCCTACAAGGATGCTGGAGAGGGACTATTCATTAGGGACTGTAGTGACAGGACAAGGGGTAATGGGTTCAAACTTAAACAGGGGAAGTTTAGATTGGATATAAAGAGGCATCTCTTTACTGTTAGGGTGGTGAGGCACTGGAATGGGTTGCCCAGGGAAGTTGTGAATGCTCCATTCCTGGCAGCATTCAAGGCCAGGTTGGACAGAGCCTTGGGTGACATGGTTTAGTGTGAGGTGTTCCTGCCCATGGCAAGGGGGGGTGGAACTTGATGATCTTAAGGTCCTTTCCAACCCTAACCATTCTGTAATTCTATGATCTCAGTCCTCACCTACAGCACACACAATTTCTAACCTCACAAAACAAGAGAATGCTCACTTCTATCATTCTAGCATCCACATTCTGAAATTTAATTTACAAATAGATAATAGCATTGTCAGATGAGGCACAGACTGAAACTCAGTTTAATTAGATCAGTATTTCTCCAACTTTCTGTACGTGTGAGTGCCCTGTAAACTCATTTGTCTATAGATGACTCTGCAGAAGTATGAAAAGCAGCTGAAGTATTTTGAAATCAACTACTTCAGCTTTTGCTAACCTTTCACAACTTCCTTTGAGATTTTTAGGTGCTGGAACTCACCATGTCATCCGACTGAGTGGTTAGAAACACTGAGAAGATAATTACGCTTTTAGCAGGATTATGAAAGATTCAAATCTAAATCTTGGATTATAAAGACTAATACAAAACTGCTATGTTTAGTCTTGCTATTTTTAAGAGTGCATAGGAAGCAACAGCATTATCACCCTCTTATGTTGCAATTCATGTAAGACCAAGGTAAGTGTGAAGACTAAGCCTCTGAACATGAGAAAAACCCCTCAGATTTTCTGAAACAGATCCAGTTACCTGTGTTCTATGCACTGTCCTTTGAGATTTCTAAAATATTCAAATATTGCTTCAGTTCATATTTACCACTCAAGCTTTATGTATTCCTATTCTGATCATAACTAGGACTAGTTGTCATATGTTGCCAACTGCTTATTTCTTTTTAGTTCAAATGTTTCAGCTAAATACTACTCCTCACTTATCTTCCACTGCCTTCAAAGGCCTTTGCTGTAATTTCAAGTATGCTTATCAAATTATCAAAGCCGCTAACACTTCAGTGAGTCCGTCATGCGTGTTGAAGACCTTCAGATTCTAAATTTTCCAGTGTAGCTTTCTCAGTAAAAAGACAGAGTTCAATAAACTTGGTCAGCAAGTAAAGGTTCCATGCATGTGCAAAATTTGCTCAAGACAGATATTAAGTCCCTATAAACTTACTCAAAGTCGGTGGCAGAATATGGTAAGTAGATTCATACTGGAAAATCTGTTGCAGCTTTTACACAGACCAACTGTCCTGTGTCTAGCCAGTGGTTAGGAGACACAGGAGGAAACAGTGTTTGAAGGGGGTTGAAAAAAGGGAGGAAGGAAGAGATGAGTTATGGGGATGTGGGTAGTAAGTAGGAGTAAAAAGGACAAAGAACACATCTGCAGGAAGCTTGTCTTTGGTTTGGTCTCATGGAAGAGCTTGTTAGAAGAATGCAAACCTCCACCAGTACAGAGTATTGGATCTTCCAGTTACACAAATACTAATAATAGTTAACAGGCATTAATTACTAGCCGAAAAACCCACGGAAGTCGTCAACATACTTCTGGTGTCCCACAGAAAGTTGCAGTGGTATCAGAACTTGCAATCCCTTCTTTACAAAGTCCAAAGTCTGTCAATACAACATGACCCTGTTTAAGAAAAGAGTGGTATTTTAAAACCAGAACCTGTTCAACGTGTGGATACACACTGCCAGTTTTGTGAGAGAACACAGAAAAACAAAATAATAATGTATACTTACTAATGAATCTAGGAGAATGTTTTCTGGTTTTAAATCCCTGTTATAACAAAACAAACCAAAACAAATGTATTAATTCAAAGCAGCAGTCACTAACACAAGAGCCTCAGAGGCAAGCAGTTTCATTCTTCAGCTGAAAGCTTTAGGTTTTGGTGAAACTGTCGTATTCCAGCTTCCCATAAAATAATTGCATACAGTGGTTTTCACTCACTAATTTGTGCCATTTTGAACTTCTGCAGGACAAGGATACAGTTCAGAAACCTACCTGTACACTATATTTATGGAGTGTAAGTAGCCCAGTGCACTGGCTATTTCAGCAGCATAAAATCTGGCTCTGTGCTCAGGAAAGGAACGTTCTCTTTGCAAGTGAAAGAACAGCTGTAAATATGCATAAAGTAAATAAAAATATTATTAAAAAATCAGGTTAATAACATGTAATTTTAACAATAAAACATAATTTTATTTAGCTGTCCACTTTTTTAAGTAAAATGAAATAAAATTGGGTTTGCTGCATGATTCTGTCATACCTTTACTCCCTTCCTTTCTTCTCAGAAATGAACAGATAATTCAAACATGTAAGGACATTCCCCTAAACCCAAGACTAGTCCAAAAGGAACTAGAGTAAACCACTAGGCTGTGAATAAAAGTTGCAAGATTCAATGATACAAGATAGCCTCCTAACAGGACAGAACCTGGTGTGTCAGATCAGTAATCTTCCATTTCTGCATATGCTTGCATTCAAATCTTTGTATGTAAGTATTTGTAGAATTGTATTTTGTAATCACCTAGATGTACCTCAGTTTGGGAGATGTATATTCCAAGCTGACAGCTAACCCACAAACTACACAGAGCTGTCTGGCTTCAAACAGTTTGAGCAGATATGGGAGTCTAGTCAAAGATTAATCATAATCATACAGATTAAACTATACAACCCATTCAACTTCTCAAGATTTTGAGAAAACAGAAGTTTTCTGTTTTCCGCCTACAAAGTCTGGGAAAAAAATAGCAAAAAGCCCTCTGAGCTTTCTGAACACTTCATTCAAATTTGAAAGCTGTTCTGCACTGTATTTTAGTTTGCCTGGAAGAATGCCAAACTAAATTGTAGACAGGAACTCAGAGTAGAGCACACCAGGAGCTTGCTAATACAGTTTAAATAGGATGACAGTCCATGAGGCAAGAGGAAGGCCCATCTTGTCCCAACTCTGACACTTAAAGAGGTCAGAACAGCAGCTTTAGGAACACCGTAAGTACTGATGGCAGGCCATCATCAATACAAAATAATGCATTTCATATCTCATCCTGGTTTATTCATCATACTTAACATTTGTCTGTGTATATCCAGCTGCACCAACACGATAGGAAGCCTTGAGATATGCCGAAACAAACTACATAAATTCCACCCCTTCCCCTGTGCTCTTCCAGTTACTGGAGTTTCACCACCTACAACAGTATCCTGTCTTATCCTTTCCTGTTCTGCTTTAAGCACCTGTAAGACCTTCTGAAGTGTTTACATTTTACACCAGTAAATTAGCAAAACTGAAAACAGCAAGTGACAAGACACACAGCTCTGTTCTGTTCATACAATCATTTTTCACTATGATGTTTTCTTCAGTGACAACTAATTTCCTAGATAGGCCCAGGTATTAATAGTCTACAAGACCCTCAAAACCTTTTGAAGGAATGGAATGAACATTTTATACTCTCTTACGTGTACTGGCTATTCTATCAGTTTATACATAAGTTTCTTGATCACTCCTAGAAGCGGCGGCTGCTTTGGAAAGCAACAGACCCCTAGCTGAAGACAAGCTGTTCCAGAACATCTTATTTAAACACATATATACTTCCTCCATTTCTTTCACAAGGTTTTCCTCAAGTTACTTAATGGCACTGCTTCAAGGAAAAGAATTTTGAGGTTAAGGTTACTTGGTAGTAAGTAATTAGACCATACAAAGCTACAGAATAATCTCAAAGGTCCCAATAATACCGATGTAGTAAATTCAGTTGCCAGTTTCCTTCCTTCTACTTTCAAAATACTGGCATCTCAGCTAATGCAGATACAAAAGGAAAAGACAGATTTACATGGTGAAAAATGTAACAACATAAGATTAATTCATAATAAAGGTAAACTTAAGTATATATAAAATACAGTATTTGCATTTGACAATCATGAATAAATTTGGGAATAGAGTCGGACAAGAAGAGGAATAGGGTCCATATAGCTGCAGAAGTCTGTACTGATAGCAAATAATAGGATTTGGAGAGAGAACACCCATTGTAAAGGATCATTCCATCCCTCCCACAGAGAATTAGAAGAGAGACTAAACCCAAACACAACTACCACATACCTCTCCTCCATTAACAAAATCCAGGACAAAGTAAAGCTTTTCCGTTGTTTGGAATGAGTAATGTAATCCAACCAAAAATGGGTGTTTCACATTTTTCAAAAGCACATTACGTTCAGCCATAATATGTTTTTGCTGTAAGGAAGTAAAAGATCAGTAAGAAAACAGGAATATTTTTGTAACTAAAGGAAAAAGGCAGGTGGGTGGGGAAAGAACATTTCACCTCTTTCCTATTAAGAACAATTTTTTTCTGCAGCACTTTGACAGCATAGTATTTCCCATCCAGTTTTCGTTTTGCAAGAAGAACCTGAGAAATTCAGAACAAATGAAGAAATGTGACTGCTGCAGTTCATATTCTATTAGTAATAATTCCACAAGTTCAGCATAACTGGGAAGTATTCATGCTAGCTTTCTACAATACACTTTCTTTGCCTCTAATACAGTCAACCACCAATGTAATCACCAACAAAAAAAGACTTCAAAAGAGATTCTCTGTTGCATCTTTGTAGAGTATCAGTAATTAATTCACTTTTCAATGGGCTGCTGCTCACATGGGTCCACTGCATTAGGGGTTTGACAAAACAGCCCATGCCAACAAAGAGAAATGCACGATTCATACTCCAGCTGCTGCATAAGCAGAGGGGCACCTCCCTTCCTCTCTGGGGGAGAGGATCCCTGTTCCTCTTAATGAGAAAGGGAAACACTCCCATTTGCTACTCCAGACAAGTGACTGAGGCAGCCAACTGCCACACCAGGTAAGAAATGTCAGAGCTTTAAAAAAGCAGCAAGAGGGATCAAATAATACAGTTTACATGCAACCCTAGACTGATACCACTTCCAAAACATCTAGCCAAGTCTCTAGCCAACAGTCATTATGCACAAGACTCCAGCTGGCATCCTTGCACCGGGATAAGACACAGTAATAAGAAAACTCACCTTGCCAAAGCTGCCTTTCCCAATAACTTTCAGGAAATCAAAGTCTGTTGGCTTAGCACTGAAATACATTTAGGAACAAAGACAGGTGATCTGAGAGGAAATTACAAGCTTTATAGCTGTCCAGCAATCTAGTGTAGCACGTGGTAATGCAAGAACAACACTCTGTTAGCACCCTCCTTTATTCTTCATTCCACCTAACACCCACACATCAGCAGACCATCACTCAGAGAGAATGACTCTCTTCAGTTTACAATTCCATTTTCCTCTAGGGAAAGTGCTCAAGTTGCATCCTTTGAGTTTCTTTTGTAAGTTTAAGGTTAAGCTACAAAGGAGCAGCAAGACTGTTCTTTTATTCTCCGCAGTCTAGCTCCTTGTAACTTTTAAGTCTGCATTTTCCCATGACTTTTCCTAGAGCTTATTTCTCATTTCCTAAGGGCTCAAGCTTACAAAGGGAAGGAAGAAGGGACCAGGTTTGCTATTTATTCTCTTTGTTTATCCCTTCCTTCCCTCCATCCATTCCTTCCTCATTTTAAATTACAGCAAGAGGAGAGAGGTACTTGAGGAATAATTCACTCTGTTTTTCCACTTCCCACACCACCACTCCTTTCATTTTTCCCAGGATTCCCTCTTTCCTAAATACAATTCATATATATTTTTGTCAGCAAAACAATTATCCATGTTTTCAAATTCCAAAGCAACCGTTACATCACCATGCACCTCTCCATTTATTTCCCCTGAAGGGAAGTACTCTTAAAGTTAATTTCTTACTGCAATCTATTAAGCATTTCCTGCTATTAGTCCAGAACAAATCTGTGACGAAAGCAAAACCAAAATAGCAGTCATCTCCTAGATGAGAAAAGCACAGAACTGAGAACAGAAACTCTGCAGAAGACACCAGCGAAGCAAGTTATGACTGCAGTAACTAGGTTTGCCGTACATTAAACTAAACTTGTTTCAGCAGCTGTTCACATTCTTAACAGTTGTTGGTCCACTCCCAAGACAGAGAGGTCATCTTTGCTATAGCATTCTGAAGTAGGAGGATAGCAGACTAATAAAATCTGAAGGTGAAAAAGAATTGTAAAAATGGTTGCTTATTTAGCACAGGAGTTAGTGTTTTGCTTCCTCCTGAGCAGCGCAAATTAACAAATAAAGGCATATGCCCAAAGAACTTTCATTACAATTCACAATTACACTCAGCCTAACTTTGCCGGGTTTAAAATTAAACTCAATACATGTCACTGAAATAAAAATTTTACATTAAATCAAATTATATTTTAATTCAATGGAAATGAAACCTACTGAGGATTTCCAGATGGTCCCAAGTTGATATTCTGTGAGGTAGAGTTGATATTCTGTGGGAGAGACAAAGAGATTTGTTTCTAATATTTTTTTTGCCAAGTTATCTTAGAAACCAATATTAATTTCAAAACACTCCACTAATTTGCTCAATCCATACTTTACACTTGTTAAGGAGATCTAACATCCACATTAGGATCCTTGTAAACTGAAGTATCTGGCCATCATCACCTTGTCACAAACTATTTCTATGCACATCACATTCAAAGATGAAGGTCATACAATAACTGTATCCAGACACAGAGAATAAGATCGGGAATTAAATTTACAATCATTTCAACAAACAATTTGTTCCTCATCCAGAAATGAACCCTTTCTGTATTTGCTCTAGGAATGTATTTCCTACCTTTTATTCTAGATTTTCCAAGATCTTAGCAATAAAATGATTTCAAACCCCCATACATCGTTTATGCAGGAGTAAATAAGGAAAGACACAGTGTTTTGTTTTTTTTTTTAAAAATAAGTGAACATTCTCCCCACCCCAAGAAAAGCATTACCCACCTGCTCTATCCTGACATTAAAGGTTAGCTCAGTTTCAGAGATGACATGAATCCTACCCAGTACACACCCAGACACAATGTGTAAGTTACAGGGAGAGGAGGAAGCCACTGCCATTTAGATAATTTTTCTCAATTTTATTTTTATTTGAAAAGGAGTATTTGTACTCTTATTGTGGTTTCGGACTTTATCAGAAAAGGATAAACTGCATTCAAATACAAGTTACCTGGAGACAGGCTCAGCTCATAGGCATCACAAAACCAGTACTCCTCCAGAAGCAGAGAATTCCCTGACCACAGCACTGGGTGCTCCTATTCACCAATAAGAGCCAATCACAGAATGATACTGGTCAGTTTTTAAAAAGCTACAATACGAAAGACTTGTTTGTTTGTTCTGAAGGCTTGGTTTTGTTCCTTATTTTTCAGCTTCGTCATTTACATTAACTATGGGAATGTGAATTTTCTATCAAAAGTATGGTCTAGGCCACTCTACATTAGCCCTCTTTGTATTTTGGAATCTGGTGTGGCACAACACATCATTAACTTTTTGACTGCAGGTTTTGATCATTCCATGTTACCTAAAATACCTTTCAAAGGACAAGGAAACTGGTATTTCAAATTAGATCTTTCCTGTATGCTCACAGTACCGTCAAGCACTTACAGAAAAAACAAAAAAAGCAGCAAAGACTGGCATCTTTGGAAGTGGAACTTTCAGGGAACACCTGATCACAGACCAAAATGACAACTTTTACACCTTTAAAGAAGGCTGAATAAGAAAAGTACTAAGATTGTATCTGTATGTCAAGAAGTAAGCCATGGAGAAAACAAGCTTAAATATGGCTTAAAATATTCCTAAAAATACTCCTTCTCTCAAACAGCACTGTTTCTAGAGGCTGTAAAATAACTTCCAAAGAATCCACCTAGCCACATAGTGGCTTTTGTGACAAGAGTGGCGTCAGACATCCCACAGTGTTGTATGTGAAATGAAATCAAACCCATCCTTGCTCCTAAGTGACTTCTAGGAAGACTGTTTTTTTTCCCCTGAATCATATTTCTCCCCCTCTTAAAAAAAAAACCAACACACCCAAGCAAACAAAAAGACAGTTAAAACATTTAATCTCCCCTGCTCCTTGCCAGATACTCTTAGCAAGAATCTTTGAAGAGATTGCAAAAGCTGTGATGGCTAAGCTATGACTAAAGCTGTGTTTCTTCGACCCATATAACAAGTAGTGAAGAAGCAAGACAAAACTCACAATCTCTTGTACCCCTTCTCTGTGGTTCACATATGACAGAAGAATATCTTACACCCCAAAGTGGAACAGATTTGTTTCAAAGAGCACGGAGGAGACTTACTGTGAAACCAACTAGTAATTTTCAGTATATAATATACCTAAGATTGCTCTCAAATAGCTAAAATTTAGAAGACTGTTCTGTTGTTACCTTCCGACTGCTCCTTTCATCTTCATCTTCAGATGGATCTGACTGGTGTTTTGGGTTATCCATTTGAAGAAATGCTCTGACATCTGGGCTAGAAACACAGTTAACTTCATTAACACAGTGATAATCTGCATGATTTTCAGCCATAACCATAGGAAGCACTGGGTTAAACAGCAGCATACAGAGGAGTTACTCATCACAAAGTTTTGCAATTAAGTTCTGGCAATTAAGGACTGTGTATAATAAATGCTTTTATAACAACATAATTGAACTGCTGAATGTGTTGCATACAGCACATAAAATTTTTCCCTTGCAAAACCCAGACACATTAAAGTATAGGTATGTGAAGACTTCACAAGGAAATGCTCTGCAGAACAGCATTAAAAGGTAACTGTTAGAAGAAAGCATGAGTTCTAACTGGCCAGCAACCACCACGAAACCAGCTGTCTTTCAAGAAACTGAGGGGTTTAAAACCATTTGTAGTTTTCCAAAGTCAATGAAATAGTCCAACATCATATAATATGAAATGCGTAGTCTGCATCCCAAAGAGAGATACATGGTCGTTACATTCCTGTCCCCATTCACTTTTACGTGGAAGATGCTGACCTTGTATTCAGAATGCATTCTGGCTGGTCACTGACAAGACAACGTTAGGAAATCCTTCCTGTCAGCTGCAGGACACAAATGCTATCCTTCAGGAACCAGCAAAAGAGCCTACAGGCTTCCCACAGTACTTAAGGGGATGCCTTTCAAACTTCAGCATTGGTTTCTAGCTGCTGCCTTGGTGAGGGCCAGGGGAGGAGAACTGGGAGAATGTAGGGAAAGCAAAAGAATTCTGAGAACCCACTTCCAGTAAGCAAAGCTTACTCAACAGTAATTCAAAAGGATGTAATGTCTTTCTTAACCAGTGAGTGAGTAAAACATAATGTACTAGAAGTGAGGCAAAATTAATGCCTAAACAAATGGATATCACATACAAGCTATATACCACCTGAAGAGATTACCAAATCTATTGAGTTCCATCAGTTCACTAAAAGGTAGCCTGCTTATCAAGGAGGAAATCTTACCTAAATTTCAGAGATTAAGTTCTTTGAGAATGTCTCGGGGCAGCCACTCAGGAAACTCTGCATGAGCCATTCAGTAAAAGCAAAGCACTAGCTTACTATCGAGCGGCTCTTTTATCTTATCCCTAGTACATAAAACTACTCTATTTTACATGTAAGAAACAGATATACTTGCTTTGCTATTTTCAATCCATTTCACCCTCAACACTTACGGAAAGTGGGGATCAGCAGCAAGAGACGAACCATTTCTGACATATCCCCAGCTCCTGTACATCATATTAGCACTACTCATTACTGAACCCAACTAATGTCCTATACTATCTGAGGTTCCCAGTGTCCATCGCCCACATACTATATTCCTAAACCCTACTTGAAAGCTGTTTGTTACCTTCAGCCTTTCAGGTTTCAAGAACAAGGCTGTACGCACAATTTTCCCACTATCATTTCAGTTTAACTCTTCCCATCTTACAAGAACTGCAAATTCTGATCTATTTCAGGGCCTCTCCTGTATTCTGAGTCACAGAAGACAAAATTCACTGTGGTTTGAATACTCTAGTAATACTGGCTCATGATGCAGCAATTCAAGTTTCAGAATCCTTGGATATCATAAAATCAAGAGTAAAGAGTTATGGTTAACACTTTTCACTAGACAGAACAACAGAACCAGATCTTAATTACCTTTCAGCATTAATTATTCTGGACAAGTGGCTGACTTAATGGAGCATGTTGTAATACAGCTCAAATAGTTACTATAGTAACTTCATCCTGGACTGAATTCACAGCAGAGAAAAAAAATAAAAGTAAAAAAATACATTCACAGTAAAAGGCTGCTGTGCAGTTGCAGAGTATTCAATCTCCACAATGCAGGCAGCCATGAGCATAACTGATCAATGTTACATCGTTCACATTTGCAATTTTAAAAGCACTGCAAAAAAAGAGTAGCGATTAAAAGAAAATGTTTCATTTCCTAGCCCAGACAGCAGCATGCTAATACATGCTATATAGACTGGTAGGACTTTCATGCTGTAATAGCTCACATATATTAACTCAATGTATTTTAAAATACACTGGAACTATTCCTAAAATAACCCCACAGGAAAATAAAAGGATCAAGAAAATAGTTTAAAAAGGATGCTCAATATACATTTTACATATACTACCAGCAAAAGTCGATTTTGTTTGGATTTTTATGACTGGATAAATTTAGTTTATAGATTTTCTTTCAGATCATGAATGGATGTCAAGCTCCACCTATATGCAGTTCCTTCTGTGACAGTAATTCTGCATTAGTCTTCCTGAAGAAGCATATGAAGTCACACAAAAAATTTTGGACACACAGAAATATGAACAAGCCCCAGAAGTCACACAGATTTTGCAGCAAAACGGTAAAGTTAACTGCCACTGACAGAACATTTAAGACACTTTTTTTTTAACTAATGGTGTCCAGTAAAACACTGCTACCTTTTTTACAGAAAGCAAAGGCTTAAAAAGCCATAACATACAGTTAACATTTTAAAAGAGCACAACCAATGTAATGCAAGGCTTACTTTCCCCACTGTGGACTGCAAGATCTTACAATCCAGGGGGTTCAGATTCAGAAACCAGAAAAATCCAGCCACCGATTTTCTTCTAGGGAACAAACACAGACCCCAGCTTCTCACTTAAAGAGCTGATAACTCATTTCCCCACAGAGGTGGCAGGGTATTGTCATCCTTGAGTTCTTCAAGTGTTATGCAAATGTTCTCATTTTCATTAAGGCACTACTTTGGACTGTTTAAAAATAACTACGTTACATCTTTAATGCATCCTCTATTATAAATTTGGATTCAAACAGATTTTCTTTGGAAGTGTTCTCACAATTATATTCATTAATTTTCCCATGAAGACCTACCTTTGAGGGGGCTACCAGCCCAATTTAAATAGATGCTCAGTGATTTAAGAGGCCTCACAATGCTCACAAGTAATGAGCTCCCAGCTCCTAGTCAGTATCCCTCAGCAAGAAGAGCACATTATCAGATCTCTACCCCTTCTGCATCTGCTTTCTATCCACAAGAACAAGTTCTCTGTCAAATACAGTTAGCTGCGTAAATGCATCTTGAAGCTAGTCCTCTTAATTCCCAATTAGGTCTAAGCCAATGATCCATCCTGTCCTGTATTCCACCTGACAGCGATTGCAGGAAAATCCTCATCAACTGCACAGGGTCTCCCTAATAACTCTAACACATTTTTTAGGGTGTTGCTGGTTTTATTACTGGGCAGAAAGGTGTGGCTTCAATGCAATATCCCATAAACACGCCGGACCCAAGAAACAAGTCCACTGAAGGAGAGAAAAAAACCTCACAACAAACAACCCCACCCCTGTCCCTGAAACAGTGCTGTAAAGTTCAGAGAATATAAACATTACGATCTTGGACAAACTGAATCTGATATTTGTGCTTTTCAATTCAGATGTTCAGGTGCCTTCGCATCAAGAAATGAGGACATCACCAGCAACGATCCTCCAGCTTTTAGTGAAACAGTTTTCCTAGGCAGGAGTTAAAAATATGACATCCTGATACTGGTTTTAATGCTTAAAAGATGTAGTGGAAGGTGGACTTCCTTGAAGTTGTGTGAAAATGCATATCCCCCTTCCTTGTACATAATTAACTTTGCGTAAGCAATTTTTGCTAATAACAAATTTAATTAGCACATTAAAGCAAAGCAGTCTAAGAAAGTAGGGATGCTGACTATCTGTGAAGACTCAGTCACCACACACTCCTTGAGCATCTTCCAGCACATTTAAAAAACCAAGACAAATTCAGTCTTTATTTTGTTTTTATTGGATAACTATGTCTAATAAGCTTTTTATTGAACACACTTTCAACAACACCAAAACACTTCATAAGACCTATTCCTTAATACTGGTTTAAGTTAGTTTTAATGGATCAAACAGGCTAAGTGCAAAGTTAAAGAACATCGACTGAGCTACAGATGTATTTGAATGTAAAACAATTTTAAAAGCTCACAAAATTTAAAATGGCAAAGTGAATTTGAGGTTTGGCTTCTTTTTTTTTCTTTTCTTTTTTTAAGCGTACAATTCTGTGGTGTGCACAGAAACATTTTACCATTTTACCTATGGAGAACAAATACATCAGGTTTTGAAACAAACTATTTGGACATACTGACAATCAAACAGGGAAGGGGTCTGTGATAAATGAAACCAGCGTCCTTTCTTAATGTAACAAAACAGATTAGCTTTCAATAATTAGTTATTTTAAAGTGCTTTCTCATCTTCCCCAAGAACACTATGACAACCACAAACCTCACAGTATTTGTTCTAGTGGAAAATTATTCCACCATAACGACTTGGTTGCAAAATTTTTTCCACTTATCACGGGGAAAGATATAAAATGTTCCTTTCTCCCCAAAAAGAAAGAAAATACACATTTTGGGTTAATAGGACATTTAAATAGTTCATTTATTGGAAAAAAAAAAAATGCTGACTGCACGCTGCAGAAATACTGTTCAAGGTTTCTTTTCTTTCCTGTGGGAAACAGGCAGTTTAACAGGTTGTACACATAGGCTGATTAAACAAAGCATATGTGTTACAGACATTTATTCAACACTAAAGCCAAACATAGAGCTTTACTATTTTACCAGTTGAAGCAACACAGAAAGCTGCACAGATTTAAATTTATTAGGTACAGATTTAAATGAAAATGAAAATGCAGTTTAGCCCCCAGATAAATTCACATATGGAAGTGTTATCCTTCAAATTTAACTGGAGCTGACCCCAGCATACCATCACTCACCAGCAGGACACTGATGGAGGTTAACACACCTGCAATTCTTCTCATGGAACAGTTTATGTGCAAGCTTATTCACTTGCTTTAGACAGGCAGCTTGGTTGCCCCCAACCGCCTAAGCAAGCTGATTAAGCTACTTTGTTAAAATGCTTACAAAGTTCTGGAACACACACACTAACTCCTCTAACAAAAAAGTTCAGGCAGTGACTTAATAGCAAGTGACAGCAGAGTTGTTAAACAGGACAGCCACGGGCAAAACAAACACCTGCCCTACAGCAACAGAGTTTACACTGGAATCTGCTCCCCTTGAATTAAGATCCATTAACTGCCTCCCAGGTTATTTGTAGATCAGTTTTCAGAAAACAAAAACATTTTTTTACTGTTCACCAGCCCATAGTAAAGTTTGTTTATTTAAGAGCATCAAACATGAAAATTACATTACTTTTAACCAGATAACTTATTTTTCAACTTTGTATTGATACCTCATGTATTTTATACAGTCCTATAGAAATGAAACTACTTACTGGTTGCATAGCTCTGGCTGTCTAACTAAATTTTGAATGAATTCATTCAGTCCTGCTCTTCTCTGTTTAATAAAATCTGGAGAAAAAAAAAGTTAGATAGATTTATTAGAATGATCGGTCAGCTTGTGTAAAAGACTTCAATTTCAAACATAGAGGTTTTTTAGGACTTAAACAGCAATTAAAAAAAAGAGTCTGCTTCATGACTGGTTAAGAAAAGGATTGGTTCTACATGTGAAAAATCACAGGCTTAACACATTCAAGTGAGGTGAAAGAACAAATTTCAGTTTCTCTGTAACACTACTAGAAAATGTAGAGAGTCAGTTGGATTAGAACTGTACTGAAGTGCTTCGAGAACAGTGTGTAAGCACAGTAGGCTAACCTGTGCAGCCTTGGTTGTGTTGGTGAGCCCTTCAGGACCTATTCTGTTCGAAACCCACAAAACACAGGCAAAACCTGGCATAAGCTGCACAAATCAAGTTTTTACAAGAACAGTCCCACCAAGCAGCACATTTCCATAATATATGTATGGCAGTGGGAAAGCTGCACAGCTCATCCCGCCAGCGGGAACTCAGATGGAACCATTAAAGGTAACTAAATAAAATGCTTTATTTTCTGTCTTGGACATCATCTCTGATATTAAAAAAACAATCCTCAGCATCTCCACCCTCACCTGAAGCTTAAGATACATAACTTTCCTTTAGCAATATGGAAAGATACACAAGGGATTTAAAACTCTTTAACATGAAATAAAGTGCAAAACAGGATAATCTTGTCTTTCATTATTCATGTCAACAACAAGTTGTATGGAAAAAGCCTATTTTATTTGTGTGTTAAGGTAACTCTGTCATATATAAACTGCTGACCACTGTTAAAATTTTAAATTAAAATTCAATTTCAATTAAAAGCTGTATTTCAAATACTACAAAAAAAATATTTACGTTGTTCCAGGGATATAATCCCTCAATCCTTGTTCAGGTATTTAATAATCCCAAATTACTGACATCAAGCAGGAAGATAAAGCTGCACAAAGATGTTATGGGAGTCACCAACATCAGCAGTTTCAGTATGGTAGATGTATGGTACCATCAGCCACTCTAAGGCTACAGAGTTACCCACAATGTTGAAGATAAAACACCTGCATCACGTCAGCTCCAAATGTATTCTGTCATTTTCTAGTTCTGTACTCTGACTGGTTTCAATGGTTTCCCTTTGCCCTACTTCTGACATTAAACCCAGATTAATTTTGAAATAACTTAAGTGACAATAAAAATGAAGCACTGAGATGACAACCTATGTTATACCAGTATTTTTGGAAGACTTTGGGAAGAGGGATATATGGAAGTTTCTCTCTATTGCACTCCAAGGCAATAGTACAATCCATGGACTGACAATAGCACAAACACTGACTGACAGAGGTAAAATACTTTTTCAACATTTGTAAAATATGTGACATTTCAGAAGCCAGCAGAAACACTACATCAAAGATCCACTACATTAGTGTTAAGATAATTATTTAAAAGAGCATCATGGCTCTATCTCCACCCTGCCCCCCAGCAAGAAACATCTTAAGAACTATTCAGTTTCTCATGCTTCAAGGATTTCAGCGTAGTTCATGGAAATGTAAAACAAGTCTGAGGACTTTGCTTTACATATATAGTTTTAATAAAGTTTTAGGTTCTTTCCCCGCCATTTAAACCGCAGTTTCCTAAATGTGATTCCAGTAAATCCACCTGTACATTTGGCTGTACAGCACCCCAGACTGCACCACACTACTAGGTCTTCTGCCGATTCTGAAAACCCCAAGGTCAGAGAAAAGGACAGAAACCAAACCAAGAAATCCCTTTAGACACAATCCACGTAGAAGTTTCGGCAATCATTCACATGTTCATCAAAAGAGGCCCTCAGAGCTTGGATACTTGCGTTTGATTATTTTAATAGAAAATAAAAAGGAGTTTTGTGTCAGCACCTAGATGATTAACAGTAACTGCCAAAAATTTGTTTGCTTGAAAGAATTCTAAAAACCCCAAAAGAACACACTGCAAGAGTTCAACACCTTTGGATCCGTTTGTTCTTCTGCAAAGGAGAAAACCAAATGCCTGAAATAGGTGGAGGAGGATGTGAAACTACAGACTCGGTCTGACCACATTAGCAAGCCAGGGGAGGGTGGGAGATTCCCAATGACCATCAAGAACACCCTTACGGAAAAATACCCTGAATGAAGAGTATAAACACACAGAGCAAATCCTTGGCCTTCCCATTTGCCTTTTTATTTATTCATCAGTGGTACCACCTAGGTTAATTCAGTGTAGTTTAGAAGTGATTTCAAATGAGTATTTTGATGTGGACAGAACAAGCTTAATTGGGACCTATCACTGTTAACTGGATCACATCGTGTGAACATCAAACAGGAATCTCTAAGTGGAACAACAACAGGAAGAGGTTCATTTTCATTTAAATTGTACAAGGAAGCACATTTAGATACAGAGAGTTCAAAAGCATTCAAAGATAAATCCTTCAGTTATTTCATTTTTCAGAGAGGGCAGGTAAAGTCACACAAAGGAAGTTAAAATTTGCTAGGCTTATGTTTAGAAGAGTCTGCAGTTTGGCTTTTGCTTTTACAGAACAGAGATTACACCTTGAGAGTTCAGAACAGTGAATATGGGAGGGCTGGGAAGAGCTATAGCCTTCACTGCAAGAGTGGTTCGGGGCCACTAAGCAATGCTTTGCTCACAATCACAAGTAGAATACCTTCCTACGCTGGTTCCTGCTCCTGACTGGGGCATGACTAAACTCTGTTTTAGTCACTGTTTTGAGGACTGCTGTAAAGCTCATCTAAGATAGCTCCTTGTAGGCTGGAATAGATCAATTTTCATCTTAAAAAAAAAACTGACAAAATGAGTAACTTACCAGGGTCAAAATTGTCTCCAAATATTCTTTTAGCTGGAATCTTCAGGTTCATGGTGGGAAATTGCTTCTTTAGCTGAAAACAAAACACATACAATTGGAGTGTGCTTAAATATCAATAGAAACAACTGCACTTTTTTTTTGTTTTCTGATGAACAGTTTGAACATCTGATTATTAGTAATTCTGCTCTTCTCTGTCATCTTCTCTACTCATACACTTGTAAAAAGAGCATAAACAAACAAACCCCAATCTGTACTCAGCTTGTTTGCACCACTCATACCCTTTTAAATTCAAAGGCCATCACATTTTAAAAGGCTATGGATTATTGTAGCTATCTCCTGCAATATTGGTGAAAGGATTTTCCACTTGCCCCAGATTAAAACACACAGGTTAGCATTTCAATGTTGGTTTTATTTTCCTCTTTACTTCCTTCCTCAAGTCTCTCAGGTTTGTTTTTTTTTTCTTGCTTGCTTGCATAGAGGTGTATGCATAAGGTTTAAGATGGGCTGAGGGTACAGGCCTCTGGGTTTTGCCCAAATAACATTCTTAAAGCTCTAGAAAACACAAGTTGCCTACCCCTAAGCCAAAATTGTAAATAGATGAACAGCCTGTTTTACAATGATGCACTTGATAATTTGATTATATTCTACACTTGGTAAAACTGACCAGAAGATTGCATACAACAGCACTGAATTTATAAAAAAAAAAAACCCTGACATCTGCCGAGCCTTGATTACATTTGCTTCATCTTCAAGAGCTCAGAGGAGCAATCTTACCCACATTCTCTTTAAGACAGTAGTTTTTTAACAGAGTAGCTAGCAATTCTCCTCTCCTTAGAAACATCAGTATCTCCTCCAGTTAGCAGCACAAGTTCTTCCTGGTGTACTATATGAATTATACAGAACAGAAAGTGGATTCTGTCCTCCTGGTTACGCTTCTCCAGGATCTCCACCCCTACACACATTAGAAAGACCAGTGCTGAACAAGCTTCCGCAGAGCAATGCTAATCTGAATGGCAAGAGAACGTGGCAAAGGGAACAGGATCACCAACACTCACCCTACAGGTATAGAAAAGGGGATGCTTTGTTTTCATATCCCTTGCAAAAGATGCAGGCAAAGCATACCATGGTGCACCCAGGCTGACTTCAGCTCAAACCTGGTAAGACAACTCCAAGCTCACTGCCTGTATTTGTATACCATTGCCACATATAAATCCATGTACAGGGAAGCAGAAGAGAGAAAAGCCTGACTACTTCCCATAGGAGCAACAGATGGGAAAAGGAGGCACAGATACACAGCTGGTAATCTTTTCTTGTGGGGATCACAGAGGAATCATTTCTCTTTTTGTTAAAGCAAAAGGTACAGACTCTACACATGAAAAACTGGAGACAACTAGGGACACAGGACACATCATGGACTACACATTTGAGCAAGTCAGTGCCCCACTTGCCCACTATGTAAAAGGGGCAAAATCCCCTTGTAGCAACAAACCCAGCAAAACCATACTTATTTGATGGAGAGTCCCTATTCCATTGGGACCACTGCCACAAAATTTGGCTATTGTAACTATTCCTACCGCAGACAGGAACAGTTTATATCAAAAAACAAGGAGCTGTTCACAGCTTTCAGTACTTCAAAGTAAACCACTTATTTTATAGATTAATTTATCTTGATGGTATGAGTTTTGCAGTGCTTTTTACCATCATGAACAAATGCACATTTCAGATGTTTCGACAAACTAAATTTGGAGGTTTCTCTCATTACACTATGATCCCAAGCAATAACTAAAAAAAAAAAAAAAAGTCAACAGATAAGTGGATTTTGAGTTTGAAATTCAAAGAAACCAAAGTTTAAAAACCCCACCCTGTCATTTTCTTTCAATAGGCTCCTACGGTTATCGAATGTTGACTCAAACTCTTCAAAAGGGAATTAACTCAAACCAAAACACTGCAAACAAAAGTTATTCTGTGCTATTCTGGCATGTTTTCATAGTTTGCGTTTTGCTTACCGTATTGTACAGTTTATCAAACTCTGCATACCGTCTGAGGACAAACCACTCATTTCTGCCAACTGACACCAACACTTTGTAAACCTGTAGTAAGAAAGATAAAGTTATAGGCAACAACAAAGTTGAACAAAACCCACCAGGTTTAGTCCTGTGGTGGAAATAAGGGAAGGTCGTTAAATGTAATGTGTAAGCATACTTGTTGAGCCATATATTTCTCATATCTAAGTCACAAATGATCAACACAAATGATTAGAAAAACTGGAAGAGTCTGGGATTTTACAGATTTATTTTTGTAACACCAGGCAAGCAAAAACTTAACACCAAAGCTGATGTAATGGAGTGTCATAAATTAGCTCATACCCAACAAGAACACCTAGCCATCAGATAGCAGTCTATAAAGATTTGCTAGGAAATTTGTTAACAATCTGATAATACATAACAAAAACTAGTATTAAAGGAAGTAAAGCATTTAAACACTGAAGACTGCCTTCACCAAAACAAAGAGAAAGCACATATGGAAGGCAGTTATAAAGATAACTGTTCCTTGCAACATCTTGAAAACATATTAATAGTCAGGATCCTGGCAGATGACACAATTGTTCAAGGAGGGGAAAACACTACTGTAGCTGAAATATAGCACAGGTCAGATCACACCACACACAGCATTGGGATCAAAAGAGGAGCTGCTGGAATCTGCTAAACAGCTTGGCCAATCAAATCTTATCACAACAGAGGTCTCCAGTTTGTCAGCTGACTGCAGGTTGTCAGTCCCTAGCTTCATAGATCTGGTTGATAGCTGAGTGTCCAGCAGGCTGCTACTGTGTCTTATGCAAGTTGACCTCCCTTCTCCACCTTCTTGTACTTATAGAAGGAACCTGGCTATTCCTCCTGGGAAGAGGATGGACATAGCAAGAAAGTAAGTGCAGAAGGCTTTTAACTTCTGATGCAGATAACATGACCAATATCCTGGTCTCCCTTCTGTCCTGCAGCAGCAGCTTACCTCTCTCCTTTTAACTCCCACAGTGGAAGTGGCAACCACCACTGTCAGTTCCTTAGCCTGAGATTTGCATTCACGCTGTGCTAACTGCTCAAATAAGCTGCTCTCAGTCTCCCCTGGAGAACAGAGGGGGCTGAACAGAAGCATCCGGTAGGACAGTGATAAGACTTTTCTTCAAAAACTAGCTTCCCCTTCCACTGCTCAACAAGCATTAGCATAAAACATAGCTACACACCTTCTAAAGCCTCCCTAGACTGGAAAGAGTAAAAGCTTCCACTGCAAAGACTTAAGTACTGTCCTTCTTAACTTAGATGCCTCGTTCAGCTATCTAGACAGCAATCAAGTCCTGCAAATAATGTTCAAACACCAACATATTCACTCCCCATGACTTCATGGCAGACCAATGCCAACAAGCTTAAGAAGCAGTTCATGGACTTCTTAGATTAGCAGGGCAAAATGCATAGACTTCAAAGTGCACAGGCAAGCACAACTTGGGATACAAGATGATGATCCACCTCCTTGGCAACCTCAAACAGTTTTGCTCTCACAGCAGCTAGCTGTAGAACAGCTACAACAGCTGTAGAACTACAACACTGTCAACGTTTTTTTACATGACAGAGCATAAAAGAAACATGAGGTCATTCAGTTCACAGCATCACCAAAGCTCTTGCATACCCAACAAAGGAGAATCTGCAAGTTCAACAGTTAGGGAAGCACTAAATGGTAAGAACACATATGATACCTACAAAGAATTTGGTAAAACCCAGAAATGTAACATCTCTGGGCTGTATTACTACTCTCAGCTCCACCTATGTAATGACTGAGAGAGATGTGCAATGCTGGTTTCCAGAAAGGCAGGCTGGAAGGCTCTAGCCTTACTTAGGTAATAATGTTTTTACATCTGATTACTTCTAAATCAAAACTAGTCTGAGAAAACTCCTAAAACATACATCAGATGCATCCACACCTTATAACATGTGGATAAATAACCCAAAGCTTTGAGAACAGGGAAAGGAAGAAAACCAAACAGAATTTCTGAAAACACCACCACCACAATCATCTCCATTAAACTACCTTCCCAGATATAGACAGGAGAGGGTCCAGCTATTTCTGGATCTGACTGATCTCTTCACAAAAGAAGTCACTGAAATAAAAAGGATTCAACTCTGTTTAGGTAGCTAATTAAACATTCAGCTTGTTTGGATTAAACATTCAGCTTGTACAGAACAAAGATAAGAAAAAAGGCAGGCTGTTTTCCAGTATCAAGAAGGCAAGCATGAGAAAGTAAGGGAACTATTAAAGTGTCAACAACAACCAAAAAGATCAAAACACAAAAACACACCACCAAAAAAAAAAACCCCAACTCTACAATTTCCATAAGGCTAGGGATTAGTGTTATACAGTACAGGTCTGAGACAGTTTCCAGATTTAATCAGACAACAGCACCCTTGAAAGAGATTTGTTAATAAGCCTGCATATGATGGGAGTGAAGGGAAATGAGAAGAGGTCAGAAGAGAAAATTAAGCCTCAGACATCAAACAGCACAGTGATAAAAGCAAAATCCAAAACAATGCTATTTGGCAAGACAGACAAAAGAACGACCCACTATGCAGCAAGAGCAGCACAACAATTAATATGCCCAGATATGGTCCAAATCAAGCAAGGATTTTGGTCTTTTTATGAGGAAAGTGAATCTTGAATCCTCAGAAAAAAGGCAGGACAGTGAACTACAGTGGATACACCCAGGGACTAGTTACTACAAATCAAGTGGAAGCAAAAAGGAGCCAGAACACCCAAAACCTTCAAACACTGAAATGATTTGTCAAGAAAAACTATATTGGTAGTAAATACATCAAAAGTGTGCATTATTTAAGAAAAATAAATAAAATATTCAATAAAAGGTTATGAAAAGGCTCAGGAGCAATGAAGAGTTCACTTCCAAAGACAAAACTGAGAAGCTTGACTTATTTATCTCCCACGTCCCTCCCTCACCAAAAGCACCAAAAGCAGTACTGATGGGCTCCAGCTACAACAGAAGAGACACAGTAAAATCACTGACAGGCACATGCTGGAATTCAGAGTTCCTACCATGAAGTTTAGTATGACCCTCACTTCTATTATCAAATCCTAGAATATATGTGATAATACTCAAAAGCATGGTTGTGAAAAGCAGCTCTAGTCAAGCTGCTAATTATACCCTGATGTAAAAAGCAGAAGGTAGCAAGACAAAGCATACCTCACCGCACAGTGCAAGCTGGGTTCAATTCTGTTTTCCAACCCTCAACTCCTCATTCATCGTGTTTCCTACTCTTGCTTGTAGCAAGAAAGTACACCCAAAGAATGTGCCTTTAAGCTTCTAAGGTTGTCACACAGATCTCTAGGTAAAATGACCTGGAAATCACAACACTAGTATGTACCAAAAATGTACCACACTGGCACATTTTAACAGCAGAATTGCCAACACTGAGGAAACCTGTTTTGCTCAAGTTTAGACTTCTATGGCATTTTTCCTGCTTGTTTGAGTTTCACCTGCATGCAAAAAAGAGCTCCAAAGCATTTTTGCTTGTTCCCTTTACCAGCACACTCCTTCCCCAAATTACATCTTGTAAAATCAAACAGCATTATTCTTCTCTGAGGAACGGAGGCGAAAAGGAAGGGCAGATATACATCTCAAACTAAATCTTTGGTGTTTTGCATTCTTCAGACAGCAGCTCAGTGTAAGGGTGTTTGCATTCCACATCTGAAGAGTGACTAATTCACTCAAAAAAGAAGAAGAAAAAAAAAAGCTTAGAGGAAGTTGCACAAGAGCAATGAAACAGTTTGAACTTTTTAAAGGAAGTACTGATGCTGTATTTATATCCCAACATAAATATAAGCAAAACAAAAATCCATGCCACAGTACCTTATTTTTCAGCATGCAATGCAAAGAGTTTCCCCACAGAATGGGAAGACTTCACTTCCAGAAAGCAAGTCATTTTGGGACGCAAAAAAAAAAAAAGAGGAAGGGGAATGACAAGGAGTGGAAATGAGAACAGGACAGGAAAAAGCTTACAATCAGAAAACAGGAAAGAAGGCAGAAAAAAGGCTTTCAAAAAAAATTTTTTTTTTTTTTTTACACACACAGAAGTATAATGGGGTATCTGTTAAAAAAAATGGCCATTAAAACAACAACAAACAGAAACCAAACCCCAACCACAAACAGAAACCAACCCAAAGCACATGAAAAATCACATAGGATACCAAATTTCAATCTGATTTAGTACCAAAATGTTATCCCTGCAGCTGGACGCTTATGTATGAGAAAATGCTGCCCCTTGGGGGTAAAGCCACCAGAAATTCGTAAAGCCATATTCCTTTTGCAGAAGGCAACACTGTAAAACATTCACAACTTCTCACACTGGACTATGGCCAGTACTCACACAAGCAAGTGAACAGATATCCACAAACTGCATTCACCTACAGTGCTTCCACACTTCCATACTTACAGTAAATCTTTTTTTCTTCTCCCTGTGTTCATCAGAGCTCGGAATACTAACACTTGGGCAGCTTTCTTTGTGATCCATTGTATATGTTCTTCTGATGAATGTTACAGGACCCTGCTTCAGGTGTTGTAACAGAAGGTATCTTCAACGGCATTGATCCAAGATACACAGTTTTTCTTGAGAAAATGTGAATTCCATCATGTAATCTTAAAGTGAAAATAAAAGGAAAGTTAAATGCAGGAACACTTAACTCAGTGCTAAAAACCTGCATGACAAGAACTTTTCCTGGCAGGAAATGCACTTTAATATGCACATATACAGTCATAATCATCATTAGTTTGCAAACAGTTTCATGCTTGTGGTCCTTCGTTGTTTCACTGAAATAATTCACATTCTCTGCAGATAAAAGTGAACCCTTCCCCCCCCCCCCCAAAAAAAAAACAACCAACATATCACTGAGTTGTGCAGACATATTAGAAACCGATTTGGGCCTACTACAGACAATACTCTGAAGGAACAAAGTTTGAACACAAAACCAATTAAAGATGACAACCTGGTATCAGACCTCTGAGAAGATTCACAAGCACGTACATTCAGAACATTTTACTTCAAAACGAAAGGTTTTCAACTGCAGAAGCCTGTACCAGGGGGCATTTCAGATTTGTCACAACATGGCAGGTGTATTTAATTATCACATCAGAGATGAAAGACAACATGAGAAAATACCACTTTTTCACATGAATTTTAGAGAGGGACAAAGCAGCATCATGTGTCTGCCTGGGTATTTACCTGCTCTGCCCTCTCTTCCCCCATACTTGCCATACTCCGGGTTTGGCAGAACAGTAAGTCATCCATTCCCTTCGGTGGAAGTTAAAGTTCACTTCCTTGCAGAACTTGAAAAAGGCACAAGCAAGAAGATAAAGACATCTAAAAGGCAGAGAGCTTAGTATTGATGAGATGCCCCTTCACTCACTGAGCTACACACCTGCCTTGAGCACTACCAAATTTTTACTGGACCCCAGGGCAAACAACAGGAACTTCAGCACTGCCTAAGAGCAGCCAAAGCTAATACTACATAGCTGCAACCCTCTGTTCAGACACGCATTGCCATCCAGTGAGTGCAGCCCAGCTTTTGGAACACTTCTGTGTCTGACTAAGTTACAAACATGAGAAAAGTTTTTAGAAAGAGAAGACCTCAGTTCTCCTCAAAACACCCAGAGGAAAGGAGTGCCCAGATCAACATTTAACTCCCTATTTTCTTAAAACAGGGAAGTATAAAACTGAACTGTATATTTCATATCATAAATTTCCAAAAAGCATACACTAATCCAGTGTAATTCTGCTGTTAGAGAGACACCCATATTTATGTTGGCACGAAGGCCAAAGCCCCTGGAATACAGTGAAAAGATTTGTTCTTGATACCCAACTAGTCTTGATCAGTCAACTGACTATTTTTCCTGTCAGATCGCGTCTCTGGCTCAAACTTCATGTTGCTATTCCTCCTTTAGCCATTAAAAATTAAGTAATTTTCAAAAATCTGGTGACTTTAAATAAAACAGAGTGTTTGAAATCACTGTAATCACAGCTAAATACTAGATCATCCATACTGCACCATGTTCAGAGAATTATTTTGTTACATCTGCATTTACTTCAATTTGATTGTTCCCTACTTCACTGATTAGGCAACTATAAGGTTGAACAGGGTTAAACTCTCCACTCCCACGCCTTTACTTGACTATAACACAGCTCAAAGTCAGTTAAGTTCCAAACCTTAAGTTCCAAATTGGTTTCTCTTTTCCTTTGGCAAATGATGGTTAAAGCTTTATCACAACAAGGCACACTTCCCATTTTCCACATTTTTATATTGGCATGGCATTAAGACCCACTGCCACACACTCAAATTAAGATCTAAAGGTTAACTGTGATCTTCTCCATCGCAAGAAGCCCACTAAGACAGTAAATAGGCACCACTTTTGTAAGCATTTCACTAAACTTAGACTTTACTAAGCACTTATGTCAACCTTTAGCCATTTCAGGTCCAGCACCAGCAACTGAGCACAAGTCCCTGTGTTTTATCCGTCTTCCTGCTCATCACAGAAAAACAAGTAAAGCTTTAAAACAGATTAGGTGTTCCCTGAGTAGTATCACTTAACTGTCTTTCTCCTCTTGTAAAGTGACATTCATTACAAAGGTTCCTAATATGCTTGCACTCATTCTCACAATATAGGCTGTACCTCATTTTTCATTCTTAGGGTCCTAGTTTTAAAAACCACTATGGGAATAGTATGGATTAAATGATGTGGTCCAAAGAATATCAGAAGACCAAGATTTAATCCAGATCTGAAGTTGAAAGATCTACAGAAAACAAAAGCAGGAAGTGTCACCCAGATTAATTCAGGAAGAGTTTATTCATCTTACAGGGGAGAAGAACAATAATAAATCAGCCAAGAAGCTGAAACTGCAACATTCACATTTCTTTCTTTAAGCTGCCTCAAAGATCACTGGCTGTGGTATTTTCTTTCCCTAAGGCATCTCCTTTGAGTCGTGCTTACATCACCAACACTATGCTAACCCAATAAACTTGGAAGAAATACATTTCCAGTTCGCCACTAAACTCCAGAGCATCAGACCTTTCTTTCAATTTCTATTTGCCACAAGCATATCAGCTCTTGAGAGCTTCTTGTATCTTCTGAACTGTAGGTGGGCTGTAGAAATGGGGATAGATTTGCCTTAGTCTTTATTGTGCTGTAATTTAGGAGCAATGGTTTACTGTGTGAAGTAGTAACAGATAGCAAACAGTAGAGCTGTATTTTCAGCCACAGCATCAAAATGACAAACTGCAGTGTCTTGAGGGTTGCCAGACAGGAGTGAATTAAACTGACACTTGTCAGCTGAGAAATCTCTGCCTCTGGTTATAAGCTTTTCCTCTAACTAAAACCAAACAGCCCTTGGCTTCAACTTTGGTAACAGGCAGACAGGAGAAGGAACTTTAGAAACAGGTAGCAAAATAAATCCCCTTAAATCATACTTGGGCACTACTGAAAGAGCATGAAGACAGGGTTGAAGACACCACTGTTGCTCAGAAACAGCTGTAACTTTTAAGTTGCTGCAGTATCTAGGCCTGGAACAGGGGAAAGCACAAACAATTGCTTTAGAGGAGAACAAAAGTCACAAATCCTCCTGGAACAGTTTCAAGCCTGTCAGCAGCTACACTGTCCATTCTCTCCATGGCGGCTGTCAAAAAGCAAGCATTATTTTCACTGTTTCCTGCAGGAAGCCACAGCAATGTCAAATTTCAGGCTGACCCTTGCCTCTGTTGAAGTAAGAGCATGACAATAACAGAACACTGACACTGTGAGACCTTATATGGATGTACTATACCCACAAACGAATAATTTTCTGAATGCCTGAAGGCAAAATATTTTGTGCAACTCTGCAATAGCTACATGCAACAGGCAGACACTGCATAGTTTAGGGATACATGGCAACCTCCTTTCAGTCCTTTCTACATAAACTAGGATAAAACTGCATTAGAAAAGGTTTCTTAAGTTTAATCAGATTGTTTTATTCTGTACTGAAATTTTCTGTTTTAAAATGTAATGGCCTGAAGATTATACAATTATATAACAAAGACCCTTGCTCTGGGTGCTTACACATCAATCTCTGCCAAGAATGTTCAAAACTAGATCAGGAAGCTGTGCTCTCACCAGCTGCCTCTCCAGCTGTAGCCAAATTGCCTTAAATACCTCTGAGGCCAGTGCAAATCAGCTATCATACTCATTCTTACTCTCAGTAATCCAAGGGAAGCAGAGACAAGAACAGTCAAAAACTCAAAAGGACAGTCTCCCTGCAGACATGCCTGGAAGAATCACCAGAACCCATACGCACTCACTGCAACAGAACAGGCATTTCCCTATACACTAATCACGTGCATTGAAAGACTTACTCTAGGACTGAGTCACCAGTATAACCAGCTGCTAAAAATCCCACCTGAACATGATTCTAATTACAGAAGAAACCTGCGTATAAAGAAACAGAAAGCAAGATACAGGAGACCATCCTATTGTTCTCTCAGAACTTTATTTCCTCTTACTTTAGAGAAAGTATCATCTTTGGCATACTTTCCATCATTTCCTCAGTCTTCTCCACAAATATCCTGATAATGACTCAACATATCACTGGACATTACACAATCTTTGAGAAAGCCCAGAAAAGCAACTTTTTCTCAACCTCTGTATGGTGAAATAGCGTATCCCACTCTCTTGTTACCAGACAAGCATCTGATACACAGAAAATAGCAGACAAGATATTCAGATTCCAACACAACAGAAACACTTAATTAGGAGAGCCAGGAAGTAATCTGTAAAGAGAGATGGATGGCCAGAAGCTGTTGAATAACTAAGTTCTGAAGAACAGAGGTTTCACACAGGCCACATGACAATACAAGAATACTAACCACTAACACAGACCTCTAGAAATAGTCCATCCTAAGAAAAACCAAAATGCTCTGGCCAATCTTTGGCGTATCTCCACACTCCCTTCAAACTACAGTTTGAGGAGAATTGAGAATTCAGCCACTGGCTCCCTGTTTACACACCCACCCACTACCTTGCATTTTTTAAAATCTCTAGTAGCACCACTCTGGAAAGCAAACCACTACTGTGCAGCAGCGTGGGCAAAGTCCTAGGCAACTGATTCTTCCTACTTGTAAAAAATGACAGCAGGTAAAGTGAAAACTCAATCAAGGGAAAGAAATGAGTACCTCTTTTTTTTTGCCTCTATCAAACTTACTTTGGAGAAGTCATGCAAACATTTCCTTCCCACAGTTCTACTGCACCCGAGAGCATCCCATCTGCCCCACCTCCCAAAATAAGCTCCAGTAAATTACCCTAACTGGCACGTAACAAGATTTGTGGCTCGGATGGGCTCTATTTGCATTCATGTTTGTTACATGACAGAACACGGGTTCTTTGCTGTGGTAAGCAAACCCCCAAGTAATAAAATGGGTCTAAAGAACAAATACTGCCAATAGGAGGCAGCCGCCTTTCAACCCTGCACGCAGGCCCATCATAATTTCATCTTTAGCCTTTGTACGTACTTATCTGGAAAGGTTACTATGTGCCTCAGACAGTATGACTTACACAAACAGCAGAGCACATGGATTAAAAAAAAAAAATCAAGTTTGCATTAAACTTGCTACCTGTAC